TGATAGATTTCTATTTTCTTCTTTTTGCATTTGGTTTATCAATAAATATGAAAGGCTTCTGTCAAATATTAAACAAATTTCTAAAGAATTTTTCTAACATTAAGAAATTCGAAATTCATATGATTAACATTGCTTAGAACTCTTTCATCTTTTTGTAAAAGTATATCTTAACATGAATAAAAGACTTCTGTAGTTACATATGGTTTCTTAATCTATTTAATCATGAAGGTCATTTGGTATACTGATGGTCTAATGTTTCGAGAGATAATATCACAAATCAAAACTATTTGAATTTTTTTCTTATTTTCACTCAACATCCAATTCATTTCATCGTGAATACATATTATACATCACATACTGTGATACAATTAAGAAAAGAAAAGTTAGTTTAAAGTTGTTTTCGCGATTAAATGGAATAGTAAACGATGAAAAAAATCATTGTTTTTTTTTTTTTTTTTCTAGTTTTTAATATAAACGCAAAGAAAAGAAAAGCAGAACGACTTTACATAACACCATAAACGATTTTCACAATCGATTAAAATATATAGATATATTTTAATTTCTAATTAAATATATTCGTCTTATTTTAAAGAAAAGAATATGTAAATGAGTTCATCTCAAAAAGAAAAAAAAAAAAGAAAATAAGAATCTGTTTTTTAAAATGTTTATGAAACACTTGTTATAGCAGACGGTAATAGATGATCTAATGCAAAATTTTTAATCATCGTTGAATAATCTTTTGTAATTGTTCGATTTGTCTCCAAATATGCATCAAGTAAACGTGAGAAATTGTATATTTCTCGAAAACTAACATCATTGTACAATCGATAATATCGTGGAATAGTAAATTCTTTAAGATCATAAATTTTTCCATCAACTTTACTTTGATAAATATGTGTTGGTTCAACTAATTTAGTTGATCGAGGAATAGCTGGTACACTACTACTATGACGTAATATTGATACAAGTGGTCGAGAAGCTGATCTCGATCGACAATGAATAGTATTACGTGGTGGAACGGATTGAGTAGATATTCGAACTGATTTTGATACTGGTGTTGTTGAACGTGTAGTGCATCGACTTAATAGACGAGGTGTATTTGGTAATGATTGATTCAATCGATGAGGTAAACGATATTGATATCGACGAGGTGATACTAAAGGAGAGAAAAAAAAAATCACAATTCATATTTACAATCATTCTTTTTATTCTACAAACACTCACACTATAAAATTACAAAAGATAACAAAGCAGTAAGTGCTTGTCTTGTTATAGAGCAATACATATTATTTTTCAAAATAAACTAAATCTTTACTTTTAGAAAACAAACCTTGGTTTTTTTTTTTTTTTGAAAAGATCAACAGATGTTTCTCATCTATTATTATAATCAGATGTAGAAGAATGAAATAAAAAACTTACGAAGACCATAGTAATCGTAGAGACGTAGACTAGGATGTCTTGATCTTCTCGAAAGAATATTGTCAATACGTTGTGTAACTGTAGCAGTTGTTGGAATAATTGGTGATGATAATAATAATTGAGCTTCTTCAATATCATCAATTTGTAACATTAAATCAATTCTTTTTTGTAATTCTTCAATTCTTCGTTCATTATATCTAATCCATGCTGAACTTCTATGATGACCAGTTAAACATATATCACAATAATCAGGTCGTGTTAATATTTTTGATGAAGTTAGAAAACGAGGTTGTCGTTGTCTTGATGAATCTAATAAACATTTTGTAATATGAACTTTAGGTGATGGCATATATGCTTTAATCATATCTTCACTTGTTAATCCAGGCATTGATCGATATTTATCTTTTATTATATTAACAATTGTTGATGATGGTTTATCTTCTTTTGATAATGATGAAATATCTTGATAAAGTTCCATAGTCTGATAAAATGTATTTAAAAAGAAATAGAAGAGCGTTAAAAAAAATTCAAATACACAGACACTCTAGTCTGACACTGAAAGAAGAAGAAGAAATTGATTCTCGTATAAAAAGAATGAATTGAAATGCGAAGTCCTGACAAGGTCGAGAAAGTGAAGTGCTTCTTTCTTTTTTTTTTCTCTTTTTATTCTTCTTTCTTTTCAATCGATAACATACATAGAACTAGAAGTGAGAAAATTTACGTACCATATTTGATTGTTTCAATGATGAATTATGTATTTTTTCTCTATAATGTTTTAATACATCATCAATATTCAATAATTCATCATTAATAATAGCAAAAGCTCTTTGTCGTTCACGTAATGTTCTTTCATAACGTTCAAGTAAACTTGCTAATAATGTTGTTGATGTGCTTTCGGAACTTTTTGTTCGTGTTCGTGAAATATCATTTGAAAAACAATGACATCTTATTTGATGATCAGGTGTTGAATAAGATTGTTGTTGATGATGATTAAGAGATGAAACAAATACGTTATAATCATTTTCAGATTGTTTTGATGATGTCGATTGTTTTTTAACATTTGTATGATCATAAGTAGATGGATTTTCAGTTTGATAATCATTTAAACGACAATATATATCATTATGAGAATCAATCTAGAGAAGAAATAATGTTATAAAAAGAAATAATTCTATTATCATACTCTTTGTCTAATATCAGAAAATGGTAAACATCGTTTCGTATAATTTCCAGTATTAATTTCATCAATTGATTCATAATGATTAGTTGTTGTTACTGAAGATGAAGATTTTTGGATATTTACTGATCTTGATGATGATGATGATGATATTCTTGATTCGTCAACATCTGTTTGTACGCTCTGATTGTGTCGAGGAGAAGGAGGAAGTAAACATTTTTTCTCCTTCTCCTCATTTTGAATTTTAACAATATCTGATAGAATAAAATCAGTAGTAAGTCGAAGCCACCAATGTGGATAATCATCACCAGTTGATACTGATCGATGTTTATATTCAATACCATTACGATAGATTGATATAACTTCTGTAGAATAATTTGATGATATAGCACGACGATATGGATCAGCAATTGATGACAAAAGTAATTCATTTGTTTCTAAATTAAGATTAAACATATGAATAAATTGAGAATCAATTGATGTTGATCGATTAGTATATCGACATCTATGGAAAACAAAAAAAAAGAATTGTTATATATTAATCTATAAAAAAAAAAAATGTTATGTTTCTTCTACTCTGTTTGTGTCATAATCGATATATGAACACGATCTTGTAACATTGATGAATGATGTATTGTTTGTTGAACTGTTTCTTTTTTAAAACCTTTCATATGATTTTCGTCAACTGTTTCTTCTTCAACATCGGAAAGAATTTCTTGTGTACTTATTAAATGTTCATTATCCATATTACATTGAATAAATTTTTGAGATCCTTTTCGAACAGCACAAGTATACTGATAATAAGGTACACTATGATATTCATTAATATCATGCCAGGATTGACGACGACGTCGATCAGCTGTTGTTGTTGTTATTGATGTTTGATTATAACGTCGCTGTGCTGATAATATCGTACGAAGATTACGACCTGATGTAAATACTTGTATAGCTGCATCTTGAACTAAATGTGGTCTTCCTCTTTCAACAACAGCTCCATCAACTATAGAAAAATTAATATTTTTTTTTTTTTTTTTCATTCTTAAATAAGAAAATTTCATATTTACCAATCATCCATAATTTACACATCATTGGTAAACGTGTTGATTCTGCTTCGATATCCCATCGAATAACATCTGATATATCACAATCTTCAATTAATGAACCAATACATCTTGCATCTGGTTGTGTAAAAAATATTTCATCTCTACCCATAACCATCCATTTATCATAACCATTTGCAAATGAAAATGGTTGTCGTACACTTGTTAAACATTTAACATATGGACGGAATGGTACTAATGAAACACCACTTTGACGACGACGTGGTGGCCGTGGACGTGTAATTATATTTAAATTGTCATAATCAAGTGGTTCTTTTGTGTCGAGCGTATTCAATGGTGTTTGCATTTTAGCTAATCAATGTGAGAATTGTCTTCCCACTTGAATAAACGCCTATGACAACATCTGGAAGTAAATTGAAAAAAATTGAGAAATAAAAAAAAAAGATTGAATGATTATTATACAAAAGATTATTTTCTCTTCATGATTTCATTTCTTTTTCTTTTATTCTATGAATAAGACTTAAAGAAATTTGTTCGATCCTCACTCATACTTAAATGCAAAAGAAAAATAATCGAAATAACTGACTTCAAGCACATATACGAACTGCTATTTGAACAACATCAATACTGAAATTCTTCCCTTGCAATATGTCTGTCGTTCGTAATCGTTTATATAGGAAAGCGAAATTTAATACATTTAAAGAAAGAAACAAAGAATAAATGAAGAATAAGAGAATGTTGCGTTTTGATACTAACCGCAAACCGATTTAATATTGGCGTGTATCGTTTATGAGCTAATGACAAAAAACAAATAGAAATCTTTTAAGTTACGACAAATGAAGTCATTTTTTTTTCTGAACAATATCAAAAGAAAAATAAAACGAAATACTTCAATAATACTTTGAAAGGATTATCTATTGATAAAATAGATAAAACTGATTGAAAAAAAAATAAACTAGTTTGGTTTAACTTACTCTTCATTTTCTAAAAAATAAGTAGATAAAAACCTCTATTCTCCATAAAGAATATTGTTTTTAATATAAATAATAATGTTTCAAGTATTAAAAACAAGTATAGATTGAACTACGCAGTTTTTTTTTGTTATTATATCAGGTTACAATCGATTATATCTTTTTTTTCTCTTCATTAATAAACGCGCAATATTTACTCATGAACGAGCATTTCTTCTTTCTACTTTATATTTTTTTTTATCTTACCATGTTAAAGTCAGACGACGCTGTTATTGTTGTTGTGGTGTTTTCAACTTTTTTCTCTATCTTTTTATGGCCCCGACTCGTTCCATCAGACTGTTTTTTTTCTTTCTCTCCTTTCTTTGAGACTTTAACAACACCCGTACACAGACTATTTCTCTTCTCTTCAGTTTTTTTTTTTATAGAACAACATATAGAGTTATTGATAATGTTGTCGACATTTGAAAAAGCAGAAAGTAGAGTCTAAAAAAAAACATTAACGAAAAAAAAGCATTTTAATTGCTTCCTAACTATACAATGTATTTATGTTCGAAATTGAAATCGAACCTAATGATTATCAGTAATATTTGAAATATTAAAGTCAACTTAAACAAAGATGAACTATGAAAGTAAATTATTAGATAGCATGTACTTTGACAATATGTTAAGCTGTACCAAATATTCGATAAAGAAAAAAAAACCGCTTTAGTTTATAAGGCTGTTTCTTCATTGACTTTATAGAGACAAAAAAAAAGAATCGATTTGAGACTGAAGACTTTTCAATGATTGTTATGATCAATATTTAACTATTGTTGCAAAAAACTCAATTTAAAGTGACCTTGTTCATGTATGATTACGCTTTTTTTTTCTTATTTTAATTCAAAATTTCATAATATATATCGAAAAGGGCTTAGAAGGCTCAGAGTTTTTTGAAAACAACATGAATAATGTTATCCAACTGTGCTCATAAAAATGACGTCAGCAGAAGAAAAAAAATAATTCAATTTAAAAAATAAAATTATTTTTTGGGGAATATTTTTTTATAATTTCTAATACATCCTGCTGTGATCATATAGAAATATTTAAATGTGATTTTACATTCAAGTTTAATTGCTTTTGTCCTGTTGTGTTTTTATATATAATAAATTAGTTTCAACGAGTTCAATATTTCAAAACAAAAAAAAAACAAATTTAAGATCTAAATATTTGAATATGATTACTCACTTTAGAGATTTTAACGATCATTTATAAATAAAAGTGAAGTTAGTAATTCAAAGAAACAGCATTACAGATTTTCTCATAAAAAAAAATGATTCATGTCTTCAAGGTTGAAAAAAAAATAATAATGTAAATCAGTTTATAGAAATGTCACGCAACAAACGTTTGTTCAAGAGTAATGAATATTAAAAAAATAATAGATTATTTAAGTCTACGTGCAACATAAAGTCGTGCTCGACAATAAGCCCATTAAATATTTGATTGACCTTCAAATGGAAAAAAAATTTTGAGAAACAATTCAGTTAGATTTATTGAAATAATCAATCTGATAAATTTTTGAACAAAGTTTATATATATATATATAATAATTTGGTTATTACTTCGAATGTTTCACTATCTTGTATTTTTATATTTCGACTTGCATTTATTTATTGAAAGTTTATTTGAGTACAGTGTTGGCACAGTCGTCGTGTGATTCCTCAGGATTGATTCTTTTTTCCACTAATTCTTCAATTGACTATTCAAAATTATTGTCGCCTTAGAAATAAGTTTTTACAAAAACAAGTTTGATAATTTGATAGCCTGTAAAATATTTTTTGTTATTCCACTTCTTAGAAGATTTTATTTTTTGTTTATAATATGCTTAGCAATATTTTAAACACTACTAAAAAAAACTCTTATTTTTATACTCCCATGAACTACATTTAGTGTTCGTACAAGTAAATCTAATGAGAGAAATATCTAAACTAATCCCTTATTTTTGAACTCATATTTATTCATAAGTGGAATTCGATGAGATTAAACAAGGCTTAAAGTCATTCGTAAGTTACTCATGATCTATTGGTTGAAAGTTACAGCCATTTTACTCAATATTCAGCGTTGAATAAGAAATCTATGACAAAGCTAAATGAGAACATTTTGGTTTGAAATTCTATGCTTAAACAGAATTAATAATTCTTAGTGTACAGTAAAATTTTTAGCCAAATCAGACATCTCCTTTTCGTAACCTTTTATATTCAAATCGAAATGTCTTGTTTGACTTTGCTCTAAATCTCTTATTCCAGGCAGAAAATTCAGTGAAGCAACTAGAACTTTCGACTAATAAGTTATGAGCACGAATGATTTTAAGCTTTTTTAAAATTCCGTCAAATCATACTTATGAGAAAAATATCAGTTCGAAAGCGAGAAATCGTTTGCAGGACTTTTATTATGAGTGTTTTCTTTTTTTTAAATACACGTCCACACTGTGACGAAGTTGGGGAGAGAAGTGCCCATGAAATAGTGATACTCGTTTTATTTGGCTTCTTTCCACAACAAATCGTACCATTCACACACAGAACACATGCTTATATAGGAAAGATAGACAATGAACGGTAGTCAAGCGTAGCGGTTACACAAGAAGAGAATGGCCTCACAAGGTCAATAGATAGAAAGAGATAGATGAATATGATATATTTTGTTACACATACTACCAATATGGACATTAGAAGATAGTCTTGAGATATTCAACATAGAGAGCTTTGGTTTATTTTCGTATACATATCTTATATTCAATTCTTAAGCATATAAGAAAATCATTGGTATACCAATTTTAATTTTTAATATATTTGTAAATCTGCGACCTTAAATGAAATACTATGTAGATCATATCATAGGAAGTTTAAACAATATTTTGGAAAGTTAATTAAACAATATATGAAATTTAATGCGATGTTTTAAATAATATTTGAAATATTAGTCAGAAAATTACTGCAACTTAAAAGCTTTCACAATACAGACATTTAGTAAATTTATCATACTATTAGAATGTAATTACTATGTAATTAGCTATTTCTATAGTAATAAGTAATTTGTAAAAAGACTTCAAAAACCATAAGCAAATACAATTTTTCTACTGCTGGTTATTTGAACGTGTTTTCATTGCATTTTAATTTCTTTCAGTAAATAAATGTAGGCCAAAGCATTCGTGTATAGATCAATCGAGAGTGCCAAACACTATCGGAATATATAAAAGAGTTTTAAAAAAGTGCTTTTGTATTGATGACATGTTGAAAAAAAGTATACTGTAATTATTTTTGTGTCGAGACATACATATCAAAGACTGATGTATGTCAAAATAAGAAAGAATGTGATTAGTTAAGAACACTTCAAGAAAGATTTAATTTCCCTTCTTTATGTTTCTGTCATCATTTCTAAAATAAATTTTGAACATCTGATTATACACAGCTGCCATTCATATGATGATGAATATATTTTTTTGTAGACTTGAATCGGTTGGTACTTGTATATAATAGAACTTAGATTTAGTAAAAGAAACAATATCAATTTTAGTCTAGAATTTATTGATGAATGAATAATAAGATATATTTTATTATAGTATTTGATTTCGATTTGACATTGATGGAAACAATACACGTCAATCGGTTTAATTAATAGATGTCAAGACACCTATATTGATTAATATTGACGATAAACTTACTTTTTTGATCTAAAAAGATTTCAATCAAATTATTTCTCGATATTTTAGATATTTATTTCTTTTTACAAACATATGGTAATTGACGTTACAAATCTCTGGAAAAAAAAAAGAAATTTATTTAGTTTGAAACAAAAATATAAAATATTTTGTTTATTACATAATGAAAATAAATATTGTGAAATGACATTACTTAGAATCATTTGCACATAATGATACTTTCATTTAATAGAAGAAATTAAAAAAAACAAGGTCAACCTGTTGTGTTAGAGTTCTTATATTCTTACTCATTTTTAATAATTTTATTCTTTTATATAATCGAGCTTTTATAATAAGTAAAGAAGCAAATGACATTTTCTGACATTATTTCTATGCGATGAATCAATGTTCATTCCGAACGATAGAAGAAAACGGCTTATGTAACATATATAAATCAAAACTTAGTTCACGGCCGTAATAGTAAAGATTCTGATAAGATATTTTATTTAATTTATATAAGAAAAGAAAAAAAAAATTAATAAATGATGAAAACGACACAATTTAAAATAGACATTAAAATGTGAAAAATATCTTCTTCTTTTTTATTAACAAATGCTCATTAAGTATCATATTACAATAGTTGTTTTTTTTTTAATATTTGTTTATAACGTAATGATAGCATACGATAGAAAATTTTTCTTTCGAATAATCAAATAAACTTTCGATTTTTACATAGAAGATAAAATCGATTTAGGAAAATTAGTTGAACTTAAAATAACTAATCTTGCTGATGAATCATCACGTAGTCGAGAATTTGATGAACTGTGTTTTAGATTTCCATTAAATATTTTTAATGATTGATTATGCATTAAATTTGATTGTCTATTATTAAGATTATTTTTGTTTAAGTTTATTTTATTTGTTGAACATAGAGTCTGATTAAAAGAAACTTGTTTTATTTCTCTATTCATTCGTGGACAACATAATGAAAAGAATTTTTGTAAACCATCTTTAAATGTTTCATTAAAATAACTATAAAGAAATGGATTTGTCATTGCTGATATCATACATATAAGAAAACGTAATGGAAGATATTTTGATAATTCATTTGATTTTTGGTCCGGAAAGGAATGAACATCGTCTAAAATGATAAAATAAAACAAAATTTTTTTTTCTTCTTTTTGTTTTATTAATTTATAACTAAATAACCTGATGTGTGAAATCGATTAGTATATGTAACTAAAATATATGAAATATTAAATGGTAACCAACTAATTGCATATAATGATACAATAAGTAAAAGAAGTACATTATTTCGACGTTGTCGACGAATTTCATGACGTAATGCAGTAATATTATGACGTTTCATTAGAAAACGAAATCGGAAACCTATAAAATTAACAAAATGATTTTTGTTTTCAAAGGTACTTTAATTGTTGAAATTCCTAAGTATTCTTTCTTTTTTCTTCTCCTGTAAATAGTTTGATTTGTAATGCAATATAAAACCGATTACTACGTTGATAAAAAAAAAAAGAAAAGTAGTCTTCTCGTGATATTCTATTTTTATAAATACATCTTGAGTGATAATAAAAAAATGAGGATTATAGACTCTTTATTACTTAAATGAAATGTTAAGTTAATTAAAAGAATATATTTTATAAAAGTTCATTTTTGTGTCAAAGCTCATTTTTCTTTAATAGATAATGCGCTAAATAATTTATTTTTACTCCGGGTTTTTTAGTAAATATCTTATTTATTTTCTGATGGATAATTTAGTTCATAAAAGCAATGAAAAATATTTCATAAAATTTTATGAATAATTAAATAAATCTTTGTAACTAATAATAATTGAAATCTTAAAATGCATGAATAGACTGATATACTTGATAAGACTTTATTCATTAAGGCTGCAGATATTACAAATATTTGAATGAAAAGATTTTTGTACTAACAGTTACTCTTGGATTTTGTATTAATATTGATTTCATGTACTGCAGAAGACTAAGGATGCTTCTCAAGGTTTGATAGATGTTTGAATGTATGAATTAAAAATAAAAAGAAGCAAAGGTTATGTTGATCGATTCTAGACGCTACCCTCGACAACATAAAAGTCATGTTTGTCATGTTGTGTTTTTTAGTTTTTTCTAATAGAAAATTCTGGCAAATTACTTTTTGATATATTATACAATATGTCAATAATAAATGAACTCATCTAGATATCTCAATCAAAATAACCTTATTTTATGAAGTAATTATCTTTGATTAGAATCAAGTAATCGGAAAGAAAAACAACTCTTTTTTTGTCTTTTTCTTATTTACGTTCTCTTAATTTGACCATAATTTGATAATAAGTAATACAAATAATAAAAATTGGAAGAATAAATTGAAGAAAAAGCATAAATATTGTATACAAAAGATGTAATCCACTATGGTTAGGCCATGATTCATGACAAACATGTAAACGTTTATATGCTATTGAATATTTTGTTTCACAGGAACTATCTAATGATTCACTACAAATATCTTTAACTAATGTATCAATTAAAGGTTCATCATAAGCTGGTATTGAACGAGAATAAATAAAAAGTGGACTAGCTGCACCAATAGCTAACAACCATATAGAAACCATAATAATACATGTTGAAAGTATTCCAATTGATTGTTTATGCGGGTAATAAACTAATAAATAACGATATATTGATATTGCGACAATAGTTAATGATGATACACATATATTTATAGCTGGAAAACTATCCGCTAATTTACAAAATGCTGGTGGAAATGTCATATAAATATATAAACTTCGATAAGTGTTCAAAGGCATTGTAAATAAACATAAAACAAAATCACTTAAGGCTAAGTTAATAATAAAACAATTGTGTGATGCTTGAAGTGTATTTGATTTACCAAAGAATAATAAAATAAATATCACGAGAACATTTCCAAGAATACCAATAATACTTTCAATTATTGATACCATTATAAAAGGAATGAGTAACCAACGTGGTAAAGATACAAATTCAGGTAGTAAAAGATCAATTGAAGTTAAATTTGTCATTACTCTTTTATATATTTAGTAATAAATTATGTTCGTCCATTCATATCTTATAATTTATCTGAAGTGAAGTAAAAGTCTTTTTTTCTTCTCGTAGTTTCTTCTTAATTGTAAACAAGGAAAAGAGGAAAATAGAGAATAAGAGAACTTAGCGTAACAGTTGCGACAATGACGTTTTTTTTTCCTATTATTTACACTCTACTCAACATTCATCACACTACGATGATTTTCTTGTTATACGTCTAGATATTTGTTCATCTTCAACTGAGCAAAACAATTTACGTCTGATTGATTCATAATTCCATGTTTATCATATGTTTGACTTTCATGACATGTCTTTATTAGAGTTTCCGACATGACTATTATTATTTCTATTCATCAAAAGGGTTATATGAGATAATACTTATACAGGAAAGAATGCAAGGAATTTAAGTTATAAAATAAGCTCTTTTATCTCAAAATACAAAACAAACGATAAATAAAATTTATGCGGTACGGTGATCAGTGTTCATTTTACTGAAAAATAATAGTTTTCATTGTTCTTGATATCAGATTGCATGATAGTAGGGATGGCTTTTTTTATTTTTCAATCGACATGCACAGACTGAACTTTTTCTCGTACTCTGTATCATGGCTAAGAAAAATTTTCTTACTCTATCGTAGGAGACGTGTATCTTAATCTTATCCAACCCTACATATCTCTATTTTTCAATTGATACGGTCAATAGCCACCCGCAGTTTTATATTATTAAAAAAACAATGTAGATATATATCAACGAACGTTAGATGATTTGTTTTTGTAACGGAACTCAATGCGTGTCAACGATGAAATGAAACATTATCTATGATATGCCATTGAATTTAGTTATTATTTCTGGAAAATCATTTTAATACTATTCAAAAACAACAAAGATATTCTAATCCATATTCAATTTACGCAAGTTTTCCAGATGAATAACTACACCATGAATAAATGATCACTTGTCAAATAAAATCATCTGTTTATTTAACATAATTTTTCATAGAATTCCTGGATAAGAAGAAATATGTTTATAGCATATGTTGAATAAAACAAAACAAAAAACATCGATTGATTTACCGATGCTTCATATAGCATTTCAACATTAATTAAAAATGCAAATCAGACACATCATACTTTCATAGAAAAAGATTATTTCAAAGGATAATAATAATCGGTTTATATAATTTATAAAAATATAATCGAAATAACAACACCCGTATACTACAATAAATAACTTTAATCTTCTTTATTTTAAGACATCTAAATAAGCGACATCATTGTGTTTTTTTTACCCGAATAACTTCATATATATATCCATTGCTATGAATTTTATAAAAAAACAAAGAAGGAAAAAATGTAATTGAGAATATTTTGATTCATAAAAAAACAATAGTAAGTAGAAAAATTCTTTTCAAAAAGAAACATTTGCTTTTCTTCATTGTCAAAATTTCATTTCATTCACAAAATGCACTATAATAGAGGTTGAAATATGTCATTTTTTTGACACTTATGGGTGTGTCCATTTACAGTCAACTAGTATTAGCAATAATAAATTTCCTTGAAAGAAAAAGAAAAGTAAGAAAACATCAATAAAGTGCATTTCTTTTAAATGCTTATAAATTACATTGGTAAAGAAAATTACTTTCCCCTGTTTACTGTTTTTATCAACGGTTTTTTTTGACTTCATACATGGAATCTATCACTCCATTAATGAATCTATAAAGTAACGGAAATAGAAGATCAAACGGAGTGTTGATGTATGCTATTGGGACAAGAGACGGTTAATCGGCTTTTCAGGGTTTTTTTTCTTTTGAATTTGAAAGATGAAAGAGTTCTCGATTTATTTTGAAATCTAAATTTTAGTTTATTTTAAACAGTCATTCATTTTGACATATAATCAATCCCAATTGAAATATTCTTTGAATCTATGAACTTTCCTGTACATGACACATCTTCACTAATGCAATAAAAACTAACTATGTTAAAGGTCATATTTACGATGTTGAAGTGATCAAAATTCAATTAGTTACGTAAATCTTATTATGAGCGTAAAATAAATGTGTCAAATAAAAAATTAACGAATTTATAAATTAAAAATCTTGTCCTTTGAAGTCGACCAAGCGTCTTTAAATATCAAAATGATATTTCGCAAATGAGTAAACAATAAAAGTTCTAGTCAGTTATAATAAATCTTTAATGACATTCACAAGCAAATGTTATTCTATTTCTAACAAAAAAAAATGATAATTACCATTTTTGTCGAAATAGTGCAAACCATTATATTCTAATATTTATTTCATAGACGTCAGTCTTTTATCAAATAATAGTAAATAATAACTTACAATTTTTATATATTTGCCAATGCAAAATGCCTTTGAGAAAAACTTTTCATTTAATCAATGATAACTAATGCACGATAACAAGAAAATTTAAGTACAAACCAATACGCTGCACAGCAGCTATTAAAAAAAAAACATTTTTTTTTCGGTTAGAATAAACAGAACAATGCTTTAATTGTCCAATGAAGCAAGGCATGCATAATTATCGCGTTTCCAAGTTTTCTAGTCTAATAACCTTTTCATCTATCGAATTGAAACTACACGGTTGGAAATAATATTATTCCAGGGGGATGCCGCTATAATTTCAAATAGAGTAAATAATAAATTTTATATCAAATGAGAATCCATCAAAAATGGAATTTATCTATATGAATAAATAAGGACTATAAAAATTTTTCGTGGTCGAACTTTGACAATTTCTAGAAATCCATGAACCACAGTCATAGCAAAATTTTCTGCTATGCGAGAGAAATAAAATTAGCTATGGGATAAAATTACTTAACATATAGCAAAGCTAGATTTATTTTTTATCATTCATTAGGTCATAGAAAGTAGGGATACATTTACTATATTAAGTAGTTTTATTTCATAGCTAATTTCGTTTCTCTCGCGTAACAGAAAATTTTGCTATGACTGTGGTTCATAAATTTCTAGAAATTATCAAAGTGCGACCACGAAAACCCTTTAGTCCTTATTTATTCATATGGATAAAACCCATTTTTGACGGGCTTTCATTTGATATAAAATGCATTATTTACTCTATTTGAAATTATAGCGGTACCTCCATGGAATAAAATTATTTCCAACCGTGTAGAATTTTTCATTGGCTTAAAAAAAAAACAAATGTCAGATTAACATTGGTTTATCACTAAAATAAACTAATCTTTTACACTAGACTACAAAATAACATCAAGTATTCATGACTTTGAGAAAAATAATAAATCCAGGGTTAAAATTATTATCTATGAAAAAGAATTATAATCTCATGCTCTTGTTATAAGAAATTTTTTTTCGAAGTAAAATTCATTGAAAGATATTTGGAATTGGTTGTCAAAAATAAATTATATGTTCTCGGAACTGTTGTGGATAGTATTGACCTGTCCAGATAACGTATTTTAGTGTTAATGAATATTTCTATGAACTTATGTTTTAATTTCATTCTGATTTCGAAGTTTGACATTTTGTCTGTTTCGATGTATTTTCAAAATAAAAAGCTCGAAAGATTATTTTAAAGATGACTCAAAGTGTATTATATATTCTTTTATGGCTCTTATTGAATATAAGTTAAGTTTTCTTGACTCGTTATTATAATCCTTTTGTGTGTTAGTAAGCGTGCTTAAACATCGTTAGATCATTTTCATATGTTTATAAAAAAAAACAACTATGTAAAAATGACTTGCATATGGTATTATTCGTATCATAAAGTAGATTATTAACATCAGTCTATGTTAATGTGTATGTGAAGAGAAGACGTGACGCTCTCTACGAACTTGAGGATGGTTTGACGACTCTTCTACAATATGAATTTTAGTGAAAATAACTTGTTAAGGTCTAAATATTGCTGAAGCTGATTTTCGATCGCTTTGGCAAGTTGAATGTTTGTAGTGTTACAATAAATAACTAATACCCAAATTTGGTAAACTGTTATTCAGAAGAATTTGCAGAAAAATATTCTTATGTGTATACTCTAATGAATATACTCATCAAATGAATACAACTTGACAGCATGAGTACTCATATTACTTGTATGAGAGCAATTTTATATTTATGAATACTTTCCAGGTATTTATATAAGTGCTCATGCTAGTTTTTCTCTGTAGATTCACTCATAAGAAAAGACGCCAGTACTCATTGCAACACTAATGTTCGTTTTTTTCCGAAGAATATTAAGCAAAAACGTTTACGCACCTGTATATTAAAAAATAGATTGAAGTTATACAATAATATAACGACCAGTAGAAAGAAACTATTTTCACGGCTTAGCTAGTTTATCCTCTATTATTTACTGATGAGTCATTCATACGATTCTGTTCAATGATGATTTTAAGAAAAAAAACAAAAACGATTTTTCATTTTAAATTGTTAACTTATCGAGTGAGATTGAATATTTTTTAAATGTGTTGATAAACATCCGTTAAAATTTAATATTCTAAACTTAGATGAAAAGTTCCGTATTATGAGCGACACAAGGCCAATTTTTCAGGGAAAGCAATTCTACATATAACTTTATTGGTGCGCCGTTCAGGTTCATATGAGTAGTGAAGTTAAACTTCACTATATGTTGTTTACCATTTATAAATATCAATAAAGCTGATCTAGTTAGCGAAAGCAATCAGCACATAGTGCTTCGTCAAAATTTTGTAAGAGAAATAATTGCTACTACTTGTAGCGCTGGCACGTCGTTTTTCTATATTAAGAGATTCTCCATGAAAACATCGAGGATGACTGCAGTATAAGAGACACTTGACAAAAAAGTTTTTGATTTTTTTCCACATTTCGAATCATCGATGTCTGAAAGTACCAATCTGGTAATTTTAGCTTCTAATATCCTTCCTTCGAAAAGTTAGTCAATACCGACTTTTATCACTATCATACCTTAATGAGAGAAAAACAAGAAAAATTATCCTATAAAAGTTATACCTGTTAGAGTTTCAACAGATCATTCACATTTTTTATGAAATATGCCAAAAGATAGACCAACAACAGCTGAAAAAAACCGAGGTATTTAAAATATTGTATATTTTCTGTTTATTTAGGTTATATAGCACAATAAGAGTGGAAACTGATACAATTTACGAGTTTATGGCGGTTGATTTTTGCGCAGTATATCAGCTGTTAGTTTTTTTTAAATCAAGATTATCCAACCTGAATTTTTGATATGTTATGTAACTTTTGATTCTTTACAAAATAATAAAAAATATTGGAAAAAAGTTTCTGTTTGATGCGAAAAGTGACTCACACTGCCTGTGATCCAGTAATTTCTTCCCTAGAGAAAAACAATCTTGGGTACTTTTTAATGTTATTCATTGATGAAAATTTTCATCTGAGAGAAATTAGGACTTCCACATGGACAGCTCTATAGAAAAAGAAAAAAAAATTTTCAACTAACGTACATCCCTGTAGGAAGGTAGTGGAATTTCGAAAAAAAAAATTTTTTCTTTAATCAGTAGTAATTATCCCGAATGATAGAGCTTAGGATTGTGATNAAGGAAAAGAGAAAGCAATTCGATTGAAAAATTCATGTTTGAATGGAACTTCATCAATCACCCTTAAGCGTCTAACATGACTGAAAATAATATTTGGAAATCTATTACCAATACCTTGGAGACAATCAAACATGAACGGTAATGAAAAGACATGACATGTGGCCATACCATATCGATAGTTGACAATACAATTCATTGGCTCAAATTTTATGTTACTAAGAGTTTGTTGAATATCATTTTTCGATACATGACGAACTAAATGATCGATTTCAGCGCGTGTAGAAATATAAAAATTAAATATATCAAGTCGTGGCATATGAACCAGAATTTCATTATTAATGTGGGTACCATCGATAAATACTGTCCGATTCTTGATAGTAATATACAAAGTTAGTTTCTCAAGATTTGGCATACGACGAAAAATAGGTAGAATCTTAGTATTATATGTATTAGGTAAGCAGTAAAACGTTGTTAAAGAGAAACATTTCAAATTAGGTAGATCATCCTAGAAAATATAAATGTAAATATATCATTATCAGTTAAAATAAGAAGTTCAGATGAATAATAGATTGAAAAGTTCTATTTTAACTAATTTTTAAATATTTCTTCTACTCTATGATATATACATCTTTTCCAATAATGACTATTATAATTATATTGGATTTCTAAAATTTCACCACATTAGAAATAATGAATACTAAGATAAATTGCAAAGTTTAGGTTACGTTATTATTATGTCTATACTAGAAAAATATTTTTTGTATAAAAAATAAGTCATATTATCGGACAAATATGACTATTTCCATTATGAAAAATTATCAGAATTCAATCGAACAAATGAAAGTTATCGTGATCTACATTCTGTATAAATTTTTCTATATATATTGAATAATCTTTATCTATTCTCACTTATTATTCGTGATTAAAAGGACTAAAGAAGAGTTAAAAAACGAAAAATTGTTTATTGTCGTGACACAAAAATAGTTAGAGTAGAATAAGTTTGATCTTCTGTCAAATTCACAATCTCATAAAATGTAAACTTACCATATTGTAAACATTCGATGAATGATATTCAATATCAAGAATATCAACAATCAAGGTTGTTAGTTGTTTGAGACGACCATCAAGTAGAGCAAAACAATCTGCATAACTCATCACATGAATACATAATTTGTTCAGAATTGAAGAGGAGAACGTAGCTAAAGGTAAATTACGAAGTACCAAAGGTGGAAAAAAACGGGGATATGATCCAATTATAGATAAATGCTTTAGATTTTCGAAGAATTTCAAAATATATTCATACACATCTGTTGTATAATGTTTTACTGATATTTCATTAAAATTGCTTTCAAATACAAGAATAAGATCGGTAATTTGTCGTTGAAAAATACGTCGAAATAGTGCTTCATCTAGATAAAAATATAAATAGTTGTTGTCTAATCTATCTATGAAGCTGTTTTTCATCTAAATCTTTATACTGATCAATAGGTAAGTTGTTTACCTGTAAAATAACGCGAAACAATTTTACCATTAAAATTAAAGAGTTTAAGTTCAGTTAAATTAGGATAATCAGCAACAAGAAGAATGCGTTTCATAGATACTGAGTCAAGAATAATAGATTTAATATTGTGATGAATTCTTGGCAAAATCGATTAATTATAGGATCAGCAAGCGAGAAAATATCATCAGTTAATGTTGTTAATAGAAAATTGAGAGTATCAATGAAAGTATCTTCTTGTACTATAATGTCAAGTCGTTGATTATCAACGTCCAACAATGAATAAAGAACATCCATATTGTCGAGCTTTCTTAAAATGATAAGCAAGATTTCATTCGGCAAATGAAGAAGGCTAACGTTCGATTGATTCATATTCAGTTTGACTAAAGCTTTCTTGTTATTATGCATATATATATATATTGATTGTTTGTTCATGGCTGCTGCTATCATTGAACAAAATGAATGGATGATCTCATTGAATAGACCTATTGATTGACGGATGAAGATTTATTCTTTTTTTGTTTCGTCTATCTGAGATATTATTTTCTTTACTATTCACTTTTCTTATTCATGCGAAAATGATGAAGTGATGTTCAAAGAGCGCAAACATAATATTTATGACATACAAATCGATTGCAGAATAAATATATATTTATTTTTTATTTTAAAGTTTTTTTAATCATTTTCTTTTATTCATGGTTCTAGCCGAAATATATGCCGATATGTACCAGTTGGCTCCTTTTCCATCATTGGAATTTCTTACAAAAGAAATTTTTTTTTAGATATATTCAGTATTTACCTTTACTTACTTAGTTTAGTACGATAAAATTGAAATTTTTCTTCAACAGAATCTCTTTGGCATTGTAATTCATTACAATTTTCGTTGTTCATTTGACAAAGTTTCATTTTTTCGTCGATTTATTGAAGTTCTTTGTTCAATTTTGTCATCTAAAAAAAAGAATTAATTTAAAAATCAGGTTCAATACATAATAACAAACATACTTGATCTTTGCAATCTTTTTTCACTTGATCAAATTCTTTTTTCATATGTATTTTGTGGACGTTTTCAGCCAGATAGCACTCGCATGCAGATATTAAACGACACGGTAATAAACTATAATAAAAAAATAAAGTTCATATAATTAGTTTCGAATAACTAAATGTATAAATGCATACTAAAGTAAATGATCAACTTGTCTTTTAATATCTAGTCGTTTGGAATTTTGATTTGCTTTTAATATTGTTTTTAAATGTGGATGATATCTTACGAAAATATAAACATAAAAAAAATCTTGAAAATATATCAGCAATAATATCCAAAATATCGATTGCATGTAGTCCAGTATTTTCTAATCTTAGATTTTTATTTTTCATCTTTCCATTATTATTATTTGTTGGTGTTGTACATCTTTCAATAGCGTCGAATAAAGAATTCAGAATATTGTCTAATATATTAGCTATTGCTTTTAAATATGTTGTTGGTAATGAAGCAATAACAGTTTTTAATCCACTACTTGAGATTTCTCGTAATTGTTCAGCATGTGTAGACTTCCTTGTATAAATTAAACGTAATATATCACATATGAGTTCGAGTTCTGTTTTGTTTACTTTACATACTAATAGTCCAAGACATTTAACAGCCTGATTTTGTACTTCGCCATTTGTATCTTCTAATAATTTGAAAACACCTTGAACAATTCGATGTTGAATATGATTATCTAATATAAATGATTTATTTTGTAAGTGATTCAGTAAATCTGATGCCGCCATAACACATAAATCTTTTTATCAATTGATGAAATTTTTTCTAATAAAGATTCAATATGTGTTGTTTTTGCGACAGACATTTTCGAATTTTTTTATTGTAATAATAAGATTATTTAGTTGACAATATGTTATTTCTACTTCTATCCAATATTTTGTTTGTTTGTATATGTGAAATGAAGAACAGAAACGAAAGAATAAACAACAAATACGATTTGTTTTATTTCTTCTAATAATAAAAGACTGATGAATGATGTAAATTCTAATAATATTTGATTGTTTTTATTTAAGGAAAAAAGATGAAATTTTTTCTATTAATATTAATGTATTTTATTTTCTGTTGTCTTTAATGATATAATAACCTTCGTTGTATCCTGAAGTCATCGCACTAGATTAAAGGTAAGGTTTTTTTTTTGGTTTATACATAGGCCTTATCGTCATCTCTCAAACATTAACCGATTGTTCCTGTGAAAATTAAATTTTTTATTTTTTGATAAAAATAAAAAAAAAATATAGCATTTGAATAAATCAATCGGAAATATGTTAGTAAATGCAACAATGCGTGATAAATTTAACTTAGAGAAAAAATTTTCCTTTTTCTTTTATTATTTTTAATAAATTGGTAGAAATTGATTTTAATAAAAAAAAAGAAAAGAAATATGAGATGTTGTTTTTGTTTAAAATTGATATAAAAAATATTTTAGTACTATGTGAAGTAAGGAATATTGTTCTTCTTAATAAGCTGGATTAATTTAGGAAAAAAACTTACAAGAATTTTTTTATTCGCTCGTATATGTACAAAATGAATGCGAAATGATATCGGCGACTACCATGGACTGTGTGTAATAGAAGCCAGAAAAGATAGTTCTATTTGTTGAAAAAAAAAAAGAATATAGATTACAATAACAACAACATTATGCTCCTTCTGGATCTTGTCAATATAACGATTCGTACATACATATAATTTCATGAGTAGTAACGAAGAAAGTGAATATTATATTTCACCTAGCCTATCATCGTCTGCAATGACGATAATATCATCGAAAAAACAAAAAAAAAAGAAGATAACATACAGATACTTTTAAACATGTAAGACAAAAAAGCGTTAGTTTCCCCTAAAATCGATATTAGTTTTTCTTTATCTATAGAACTATTTTTAAATAAATTTTTATTTCAATAATATAGATGGACACAGTACGATGATGTTAAATAAGATTATTAGATGACAGAAAAGTTAATTTATCTATCAATGTAAGTAAATTTCTAATAAAAATAAATATCTATTTAGAACAAATACCACAGTAGCTGAATTAATAACAGAAGTAAGTTGACAATATCATGTAACCGAAACAGAATATTTTTCGGTGTTTATTATGAGGAAAGGTAAATTTAATATAATATGAAATAAGTATGTTAACATAATATAAAGAAAAGAAAATGTTATGTACAGCTGAAAAGTCTTTCAAATTCTTCTTTGTCTTAAAGAATAAATCCATTGTTCGAATTGCAAAGAAACATTTGTTACCTATCGGTGGTATGTATAATTGATTATTTATATTGCTTCCTATTTGACAAACATTGAAAAGAATAATATGAATACATATTTAAAGACAAATATAATTTATTAACTTAAAAGAAAAAGAAAGAAATAATTGACAATATTTCGATTTTTCTAAAAAGAATTTCTACTTATCAAAACTAATTTTATGGAGAAAGTTATAGATTAGATATATAATCTTCTTAAGAATTATTAAATTTGATAAACTAAAAAAAAATCTTTGAATATGAATTTTACAAATCGCAATGTCCGACATTTTAAAAGAAGACCATTAATATCTATTTAACTTATAACATTTCACATGTACGAAAGAGTGTACAAATAAATAAGTCTCGATGGCATATTGAATATTGATTTATGTAATCTATGTATCTTTTTCTTTGAAATATTGATGTTTATGATGAAAAATATTTCAATTTTATTTTAATAGATTATATAATGATTGATTGTCGATAAATATCGTAGAGTTGATGCAAAATGTCGAGAAGTGAGAAGAAAGAACTTGACCTTTTTTTTTCATGTTCTAAATATACCTAATGAGATAACTACCTGAATTAAGTCTTATCATACAAGAATATAAGGAAATTTCAGATGATACGAATCCTTCTTTCTCAAGTTATGACAAAAACAATCGAAAAATTCATTTTTCTTCACCATTCAAATATTCAGTGAAAGCGATATTTCAGGATTGAATTTTTCGTAGTTTCATCAGATGTATCTAAATTTATCATTGTATAAGAAAAATGAATTTAAAATATTTGATTTTTTTTTCTAGTGTACATCCACTACATTCAATTTTTGTGATGATTATTATTCTCATCCATTAATTCTCATGACAGAAGCACCTTTGTCATCTGTTATTTCTTCTCATCATAACGTAAATTCAACAAATAATTCTGATTCTCCATCAATGGTAAATAATACCAGTGATGTTGATAATACACAAAATCATCCATATGAGTGCATGTCTGAATATTTATTAACAATGAATGTCATATCAACATTAAATGTATTACCGACCGAATACATGTTCTGTACCTTATGCTACTTTTTCTCGATCATTACTTTTACCTGGAAGAGTAACAACAAGTACAAGTGATAATAGTCAAAGTACATATTCTCCTCCACCATCAGCAACAGTCAATCAAGAAGAATCATTAACTCTTTTACTTGCTTCATCTATTCGAAAAGAATCTCATCAAATAGGAGAAACATTAATGTCTTCACCAAAATCAAAGATGATTGGATGGACAAAACGAAAATCGACTAGTGCTAATAGTGGCAATGAACAACGTCATAGTTTTCTATATGAATGATGGAAATCGTCTGTACTGCAATAATTAATTAGATAAAATGCAGTGATTTACTTTACTTTTCATTTTTTTGTGTTGTTTTTCATTACACTTCTTCTTTTATTCGACATGAAATTCGAGATGTCTAATTTTCAATTTTCGATTAAATAAGCATATTTTAACGATGTCTTTACTTTTGAACAAAAACTTTCATTTATTTTAAGAAGAAAATTGTTCTGAACAAAGACAAAAAGAGACATTTTTTGAAAAGACAATCCTCATCCTCTTGTAATACATGACAGTCAAGATTTAGTACTATTCTAAAGTTTCTCAAACAAGAAATTAACAGTCTTTGAAAAAACTGATTGATTCAATCTTTAAGTAGAATCTACTAATTCAAATTATATCCTTGTAATAAGTCAGAAGTGAATGATGATCTGAAACAAAATCGGATTCATCTTAGATTTTTAATGAACTCTAATATGTTTTGCACACTCTCACTTGCTTCCATCATGATGAAGAAGGATATATGCTATTATTATTTCTGTAAGTAAAAATTAAAAAATTGATCGGCTGAACTTTTTTCATCATAGAATGAATAATCTGAAATTTTAGTATGATAAAACAAATTGCGCACCAAATTGAAAAAAAAACAATCTCAGTCGAAAACATCATTAAATAAGGGATGGTAGTCATTTCTGAAGAAATGATCATAGGTAAATTCAAATTGTATTTAAAAAAGAATAAGTGTCCACAATACTAAATACTAATTAGCATCAAATAGTTATCGCCTACGGTAACTTAAATTCAGAATAATCCAAAAGAGGGGAAAACCAATACAAATACCCATTAGAACAAGCGTGATCACGCACATCCAGAGAAACTAAAAATCGAAAACCAAAATAAAATGCTTTTTATTCAGATATTTCATTAAAACAATATTAAGGTAGCAAATTTTCTGTGATGATTTCGAAAACTGTCCTCAGAAAATATTCAATTTCGACGATCGTGTTCAAGACCTTTCATATGAAAATTTTTGCTAAAAATAATATGTAATACAAAAGGAATTGAAAAAATGTCAAGGTGTGTTTCACTGCCATAAGACCAAAATGAAGCAATAGCATAACGTATTTGCAATTTCTATTATAATTTTCCAACCTATTCGGTAGAATCAATAATAAATTATTCAAATAGCAAAATATTTCTCAATATATGTCGAAAGTATTCTCAACACACAACCATAAAATATTTAACAAAGTGTGATTGATTTTGAAAGGATCTCACAAAAACAATGGAATAGTATTGATAAATCTATAAATAATCAAGTTCTGAAAATGATCAATAAAAATTGGAAAGAGCAGGTAAATTACTTTGTTCATTTGACTGATCTAGCTTTTACATCTATAAATATTAAATTTCTAATAAAATGATAATTAATTCGAAGTTGATATAAACAATGTATGACTCGTATCATCTATTTTGAATAATGTATTAACAAAAATTTATTTTCATTTATCAACAAGAATCTTCAAAATGAAGATTAACTCGTCTGATTCTATTTGGCTATTGCTCATTACTCAAATTTTTTTTTTTTTTTTTTTTTTTTTTTTTTTTTTTCAGGTTGTTTAACACCCCGGTTTCTTTTCATAAATTTTAAAGCCAAAGTTT